CCTCCCCCTCACCCCCATCTCTCAGTGGGAATCTCGCCCGGTAGTGCAGCTGTAAGGCACAAGCGTGATCCAGCCAGCTCCGGAGGCCAGCTGCAGCTGCAGCGCCTGGCGCGGCCCCGGGGCGCTGACGCACTCTACAGCCAGCGATGCCCCCGGACGGGCGGGCCAGGGGTCAGCTGGCCGTTCTGGGCCAGGCTGCTGGCCGCGCCACTGGAGGTCGTCACGCAAACGATCGATGCGGTGAAGGATGACCAATCATATCCCTTATTGGCCAATATGGTGTGTATTGGTCATTTAGACCGGTGGGATGGCTCCACAGATTGGGACAGTCAACTTACTGCGGCGCACGGAAAGGGGTCAGCCGCGCAGCTGCCCGCGGCTTGCGGGTGTTATGCTAAAAAAGAATAGAATGTCAGCGGAGATAAAAGTGATTTGGGTTCTAACGAGACCCTAACATTTTAGACGATGTACCATCACGGTCCGGAAGAGCGTGTCGCGAAGGACAGTAAACCTTTAACAGCAGTCAGACCCTCCTAGATCACCAGATCAGAAATCTCTAGATCAGCGGTCAGACGGGAACCCACAGCTTTCTGCTCCCGGTCGCTCCCCTCCGAACGACCCTGGCTTGGGAGATATAAACCCCTTGTCTGCTGGTCCCTCCCGCCCCAGCTGTTTCCTGCACAGTGTCGCCGCGGTCCGCGAGCTGGGAGCACGCTGACGGTCAGGGTGGAGGTGGTGTCCGCTGCAGCCAGCTGCGGGAAAGGGTTCGATTGGCTCCGGTGACCCGGCGACGGCGGGTCACTGCGGCCCTGGGAGCTCGGCCGGTCGATAGCCGGCGGGGTCCACCCGACCCAGCACTGACATGGATCTGGTCATCGGCCAGCCTCTGACTGGGGACTGCGGGAGTCGGAGGTCAGGGCAGCCGGGATCAGAGGTCACGACTGCAGGGGTCAGAAGTCGGGATTGCAGGGACCACTGTCTGCTGACCTCCGACTGGGGACTGCAGGGGTCAGAGGTCAGGACTGGCAGGATCACTGTCTGCTGATTGCTGATCGCAGTCGGCGCGCTGTCTCGCTGCTAGATTCGCCGGTGTAGCGGCGAGATGTCGGCGTCTTACACTGAAGTATGGACTCGGATGGAGGGGGTGAGCGCCATGGCCGCCGACTGGGACTGCTGACTGGAGTCTGCTGAGAGCAGGCCGGAGACAGCAGACTGAGACTGCTGACCGGAGTCTGCTGAGGGCAGGCCGGAGCGGCAGACTGGGGCTACCGACCGGAGTCTGCTGAGGGCAGGCCGGGGACGGCAGACTGAGACTGCTGACCGGAGTCTGCTGAGGGCAGGCCGGAGCGGCAGACTGGGGCTACTGACCGGAGTCTGCTGAGGGCAGGCCGGAGCGGCAGACTGGGGCTGCTGACCGGAGTCTGCTGAGGGCAGGCCGGAGCGGCAGACTGGGGCTGCTGACCGGAGTCTGCTGAGAGCAGGCCGGGGACGGCAGACTGGGGCTGCTGACCGGAGTCTGCTGAGAGCAGGCCGGGGACGGCAGACTGGGACTGCTGACCGGAGTCTGCGGAGAGCAGGCCGGGAACGGCAGACTGGGGCTGCTGACTGGAATCTGCCGAGAGCAGGCCGGGGACGGCAGACTGGGCCTGCTGACCGGAGTCTGCTGAGAGCAGGCCGGGGACGGCAGACTGGGCCTGCTGACCGGAGTCTGCTGAGAGCAGGCCGGGGACGGCAGACGGATCTGAGGAGACTGGTGACGGGGGATCCGAGGTCCTCAAATGCGGACCAGAGAGTTGGTACTGCTGGCGGTTGTGGGACGGTAGCTGGTGATTGAGACAGGCTCCTGTATGGTGAAATGGAACGACTGTCGCTCGGTGGATATCCTGAGGCTCTTGACCTGTGACTTGAAACCGTTTACGCTTCTCTGAACCCCCTTATGTAATGCGCTTCCCGGAATCTGCAGGCCTTGTCTCGGCACCACACAAGGTTCCGCAGAACCGTTCCGACCGCGCGGTCAATATCAGCTCGACTCGCATAGCAGTGGTGACTCGCGTATGTCACGCACGATCTGCAGAACTGACGGTGGCCGCTGTCGCCTGCACGCGCTGCCCGTGATGGCCAGTAGCTGAATGAGCGGAAGTGGCTCCGTGTGCGTGCTCCCGCACACCGGCCGCTGGCCACGCCGCCAGTGGCGGGCGTGGCGCGGGCATGTGGGTCGAGCTGTTGGTTACCATGCCGCCGTTACCTGCCGGACCTCTGGCTGTCCGTCATCGCGCAAGCGTTTGGCATTGACCTGGAGTTAGTGTGGGCTAACGGCCTTAAAACACGCCGTCATGTCTGCTTGTTTTGTCCATTGCCAACGGCTGTCCCGAGACGTTTTACGTAGCGCTCGATAGGGAAAGACTTACGCTTGTTTTCATTTGGGAGGAATTGATTTGCTGGAAGCCTGACGAGCCTGACCTGACGTATGAGGAGGCCCCGTCGGGGCTGTCGGAGTGGCTCGTATGGAGGGCCTTGTGGACAATCCTGACCCGACGGCTGAGGAGGCCCCGCCGGAGCTGTCGGAGTGGCTCGTGTAGAGGGCCTTGTGGACGAGCCTGACCTGACATCTGAGGAGGCCCTGTCAGAGCTGTCGGAGTGGCTCGTATGGAGGGCCTTGTAGGACGATCCTGACCTGACCTCTGAGGAGGCCCTGTCAAAGCTGTCGGAGTGGCTCGTATGGAGGACCTTCAACATCGGTCTGCAGTGTCATAACGGCCAAACATCAAACATCGCGACGCGGTGGCCCAGCCAGGTCTTGACTGTCAGTTTCGGGTTTGTCACGTTGCCTCGGATGTTTGTCAGAATTACACAAGCTGTATCTCCGCGTGGCACCCGCCTTCAGGCATGTGGCGTAGCCGGCGGGACCTTGATGCATGTCGTCTCTCCTTGGAGGTGACGGCGGCCTCCGGGGACCGGCCCTAGCGCTTTTGGCAGTTGAAAAGTCATAGGGCCCCTGAAACATAACGCATAGTCCGAGCCGTCGAGGTGGGTTCACAAGCCTCCAAAATAAAAATAAAAACAATCATCGTCTCTAAGCGACGAGGTCGGGTCCTGGAGTTCGAAGGGCCACTATGGCCCGATTTGGCACCCTCCTGGGCGAAATCCTGGCTGCGCTGCTGTGCCAGGTTTGTTATTTCCAGGTGCAGCAGTCCGCAACGAAGGTTATTTATTTGCATTTGCAGGTCGTGACTGTTGATCAATATTTAGCCTTCGCTTGCAGGATGGGACTAAATATTGTTACGTAGCGTCAACATGGGCTTCCAAACACACAAGTCGTATATTCCGCACCAGCTTATGCTTTCCGATGAATGTTTATACGCAGAAGTCCCCTAAAGCGGCGAGGAGCCCCTTAATATATGTCTGGTCGTATGGCCGATGCTGGTTGGGATAATAATATCAAGCCGGCGTTGGGACCTGGGTCTTACCTCCCGACACTGCAGAGGTGTCCTGTTTTTGTGGTCTCCCTCCCCGTCGTCCGCACAAACATCAGGTGACGATCCTTGCCGCGCGAACATCACGTGACCGTCCTTGCCGCGCGAGCACCATGTGACCATCCTCCCCACGCGAGCATCATGTGACCCTCCTCGCACGAGCAACAAGTGACCTTCCTCCCCACGCGGGCGTTAGGCTGCCGTCCTCCCCGCACGGGTATCAGGTGACCATCCTCCCCGCACGGGCGACAGGCGACCATCCCCCCGCGCGAGCATCAGGTGATCAGGTGACGTTCAACCACACGTGGCGGTCCGTGTACTGCGACCATTTGGAGCCGCGGCCTTCACCAGAAACATTAAGCCGTTACGGACAGTACAGCGCCGCCAGCCGGCGTACAGCGCGGAGCAGATCGGCGCAATAGGACGCCCAGCGGCGGTGGCGGCGTCGGGCGGGCCGTGACGGCCGGCGCCGGTGGCGGCAGGGTCACGTGACCGCCGGTGGGCGGGTGACGGACCGGACCCTCGATCGACCGCCGGCCGCGCCGGGCGCCACGTCACCGCTCGGGCGTCGCGCCGCCCTGTCGCCTCGTGACGGCTGAATTATTCGGGCGAACCGTACCCGGCAAACGTCCGAAATCGACCCAGCCGGCGCGGACGGCGTGCGTTTCGCGCGATTATGCGTCGTAGGTGTTACACCGCAATACCGTGGGCCGTGGACGGTGTTGTAAACAGGCGTATCTTGTTTGTGCTTATCGGGCCGTTTAAATAGGTATTGAGTGCGAATCCATTCCGTTGTTTTTAGTTTCCTGTGAAATCCCGCACTGGCATGTTTAACAAAGCGCCTTTGTCGGTAACTGAGGACTATAATATACAGTGCTGTATCACGCTACCGCCGCTTACTTTTCGTCCACCAGAACACGAGGCCGCGCTGAACTGTGTCGCACATTGGGAACATCATGGAATTCGTTTATGGTACCTTCTGAGCGCTCACGGTCGCCCAGCGTGTCGTGTGACGGCCGGCGGCCCGGTGTGCGGCAGGAGTCGTGGTCCGCCTCGCTGCGCTCCGAGCTGTCGCGGTTCGTGCGCGACATGAGCAGCGGTCAGGCGCCGCCGGCGCAGCTGGTGCAGCTGTACCTCAGCCGCGACCTGCTGGCGCGGCAGGCGCACCACCTGCTGGTGCGCAGCCACGACCGGCTGCTGGAGACGCAGCGCCACTACAAGCGGCTGCGGCGGCGCCACCTGCGGCTCCAGGACGACTACAGGTGCGGACGCCGGGGCGGCCGCGGCCGGAGGCAGTGTATCGCTGCGGTGGCTGAGGGCAGATAGGCTTGAAGCCACCCACGAATGGCCTAAATCGCAATTATTATAACGCATGTGATTGAGGAGTGAGATCGAAACTATCGAAATCACCATCGAAAGCCCCTCACACTGGCCCTCAGACTTCTCGGGTGTCTTTGATGACGAGGACGGCAGGCTGGGGAGCCGGTTTGCAGATGGCACTGGCACAAGGCTCCAGACACCCCCAGCATGGAACCCGGCCGGTGACCGCGCCGGGCATCACCCGGAGCTGAGGCCGGCCGTGTGTCGGGTGTGACCGGGAGCTGAGGCCGGCCGTGTGTCGGGTGCGACCCAGAGCTGAGGCCGGCCGTGTGTCGGGTGTGACCCGGAGCTGAGGCCGGCCGTGTGTCGGGTGTGACCCGGAGCTGAGGCCAGCCGTGTGTCGGGTGCGACCCGGAGCTGAGGCCGGCCGTGTGTCGGGTGTGACCCGGAGCTGAGGCCGGCCGTGTGTCGGGTGTGACCCGGAGCTGAGGCCGGCCGTGTGTCGGGTGTGACCCAGAGCTGAAGCCAGCCGTGTGTCGGGTGTGACCCGGAGCTGAGGCCAGCCGTGTGTCGGGTGTGACCCGGAGCTGAGGCCGGCCGTGTGTCGGGTGTGACCGGGAGCTGAGGCCGGCCGTGTGTCGGGTGCGACCCAGAGCTGAGGCCGGCCGTGTGTCGGGTGTGACCCGGAGCTGAGGCCGGCCGTGTGTCGGGTGTGACCCGGAGCTGAGACCGGCCGTGTGTCGGGTGTGACCCAGAGCTGAAGCCAGCCGTGTGTCGGGTGTGACCCGGAGCTGAGGCCAGCCGTGTGTCGGGTGCGACCCGGAGCTGAGGCCGGCCGTGTGTCGGGTGTGACCCGGAGCTGAGGCCGGCCGTGTGTCGGGTGTGACCCGGAGCTGAGGCCGGCCGTGTGCCGCAGGCGACTAACGGGCGTCACCAGTCAGCTGACTTCGGCCCTCGAGGTGTCCGTCCGGCAGGGCGGCGTCGACCTGGAGGCGACGCTGGACGCCTGCTGCCAGATATTCCCGCAGCTGTTTTCACGCACCATCCAGCAGCACGCCACCGACAAACAAAAGGTCAGTCGACAGACGCAGCGCCGTGCAGGATTACAGAAGCCCTTCGGCACTGGCTCCATATTAGGCCTGCCGGATGGTAGTCACCCTGACGATGGCTCGCTGCGTGGAATGTTTAAACCGTTCATTATTACGAGTTGCAATCATGATTGGTTTTAGCTAGTTCTTTTTAGCGCTTTATGATAGCAGCTTTTCTTTGCCGAACTCGAAAGGTCGTTTGAAGCTAAAAATGTCATTGAGCCCGCTTATACGATTAGCGTTCGCCCGACGAGAGTCGTAGAAGACGCATTAAGAAGACTTAACTTAAGAAGATTAAGAATACTCAACATTATTATCTTGTCACCAGTGGACATCGCCAGATGTGACCTGTAATATGTCATGTCGAGTCGAGGGGTCAAGCCTATAACAGTATTGCCCCCCCCCCCTCTTCTGGTTATGTCAAGAGCTAAACAAGCCACGCCAGAGAGGAAACCAGCGCTAGTTGGCCTTCCGTTCCAAAGCTGTTAGTGCTGTGGGGGTTTAAAAATGTAAGACCTTTAATAGGCCGAAGGTGGTCGAGAGGAAATGTCAAAGCGTGCCCTTGCCTGACCTCGAATGACCAAACCTTGCAAAAAGGAACCGCGCTTCATATGCTTATCTCGCAAAAACAATAATCTCACTTGCCGAGCACGCTTGGTCACTCCAGTCCATGCTCCGCCTGTGTTTCGGCTGGCGTTTTATGTGCCTAATTGTCCAGAGATATGCATCTATTTATCACCCGTAGCTGTTTGGTGTGCGCGCGCGCCGGCGCCTCTGTGGCCCCTCGGTGTGACCGGCGTCTGCCCCCTCGGTCAGTCGCCGCCCGAGTCGATCCTGCGTCAGAGTGTGGAGCGTCACCAGGCTGACAGCGTGCTGCCGGCGGCCGGCCGCGCGCCGCTCGACTTCGCCGCGGTCAAACACCACCTGCAGACGGCCTCGCACAGAGCCAAGGCGCTCCTGCTGCAGGCGCTCCGACGGGTCAGTCAGTGTGCGGTCCTCAGGCGGGTCAGTGTCGAGACTGTATGGCTCTCAGGTGGGTCATTGTCGAGACTGTATGGTCCTCAGGCGGGTCAGTGTCGAGACTGTATGGTTCTCAGGCGGGTCAGTGTCGAGACTGTATAGCCCTCAGGTGGGCCAGTGTTGAGACTATATGGCTCTCAGGTGGGTCACTGTTTACCTGGCTTGTTCTCAAATGGTGGGATAGCGGATACACGCACCAAGCAACCCCATCTGGTGGCCACGGGTGGCGTGGTTATTGTTGAACCGATCTGTCCCTGCCCCTGTTTGACACCGGACATCTCCGCAGTCGTATCACCTTGTGTACGGATACATGTGGCATATAGTTACCAGATGGGTTATGCTACACTCTCATGAGGAACCATGACCACCGTGTTACAACTGTGCCACCGCGTGCGTGCCGTGGCCTGTGTACGACCACGTGCGTGTCATGACCTGTGCACGACCGCGTGCGTGCCGTGACCTGTGTATGACCACGTGCGTGCCATGACCTGTGTACCACCGCGTGCGTGCCGTGACCCGTCTTACCGTGGCGTGTGACCTCTGGGTCGGGTCGGCAGCGGGTGACCCGGTCCAGCAGCCGCGCCGACGTGGTGGAGACGTACGTGGCCGGCGACCTGGCCGGTCTCCAGCGCGTGGACGAGTACACGCGCCACGTGCTGAGCGCGTTGACGCCGCCGGAGCCGCACGTGGTGCAGCAGAGCTGGGCTCGCCTGCTCAACTGCCTGGCTTCCTTCTGCAGCGGCCGCACCTACCTCTGCATGTGAGTCACGCGCCCCGAGGCCGAGCCGTACCGGCTAGCTCTGCGAGGCCCCCCCCCGTCCCCCTCTCCCACCCTTCTGAAGGGCTGTGTTTCAAGTTACCAACAATCCCTGTCGAAGTTTCGGTTGCTCCTGGTGTTCCACTCTTCCCCAGTTAGCTTGGCTAAAAGGCGGACTATAGAGCTCTGGGTTAGATCATCTGAGGCAAATGGCTCAAGATGTATTGAAAGTTCCACTTTGCCGCTATTGTTCGTGGCTTATCATGTCTTGACGAATGTACGATTTGGCCGGTTGGTCTTTGGGCTGCGTTCTGTATTTGCATGCTCTTAGCTCTTGCCGTCCTGTCGACAGGTACCAGCCGTTGATGGACACGCTGCTGAAGGTACTGCAATACCAGAAGCTGGACGCCGTCACCTTGGACATGGTGCTGGCCACGCTGCAAAAGCTCTCTCTCCGGTGACTATACGTGCACTTTCAGAGCCTTTATGACTCCACTCTGATATTTGCCCCACGACAGCTGAGCTACGGGTCACGTACGTCAGTTGAAGCGTGTCACCAGCACTTATTGGGAGACGAGGACAACATTGGGGATCGTTACCTATAAAACGTTTGGCTTCCGTAGCATCACAATTGTGATATTTAAGTTCGCCTGAACCCGACGGCATGTGCGGGCTTTTGCTTTTTACGGATGATAAGGTAGCTCACCTTAGCCTATGTTATGACTGTCACCATCCTGCTCGGGCTGTTTGCGCTCTTGTGTCGCTGTCGGCCCACGCTTCCCCTGCGGTCTGTCGGCGGGCGCTCTGGGTGGTGTAGGTCGCGACCAGCCACACTCCGCACGGTCTGCAGCTGTGTGTACCGTGCACTGCACTCCCGCTCCGCAGCGACCCTACGAACAGCCCGATACCAGCGACTCAACAGCTTGCCGACGCTTTGCGGACTTCTGTGCTGCTGTATCTGGGACACGCGCTGTGTTGAAGGCCAATTGAGGTCAGCATAACAACTCTGAACTCAAAAGTCGTGGTCTGTAAAACCAAGAGCTCAAGGCCTCATTTGCCCATGTCAGGTTATCAAGTATCGTGCTCTCTTCGCTCCTGACGAGTCTCCGGCCGCGGCTTCGCATTGCTTGGCTGTGAGCGGGTCTGCCCCCCCCCCCCCCGCCCCTCCACAAGGACGGCCGGCCCGCCGTACAGTGGAGTACTGCGGCACGGTCGGCGCTCGGCCCCCGGCGCCGAACGCTGCGTCGGGCCGCTGACGGGCTGGGACTGGGTAGTGTGTCAGGCCGCTGACGGGATGGGGCTGGGCAGTGTGTCAGGCCGCTGACAGGCTGGGACTGGGCAGTGTGTCGGGCCGCTGACAAGAGTGGGACTGGGCAGTGTGTCGGGCCACTGACAGGCTGGGACTGGACAGTGTGTCGGCCGCTGACAGGGTGGGACTGGGCAATGTGTCACGCCGCTGACGGGATGGGGCTGGACAGTGTGTCACGCCGCTGACGTGATGGGACTGGGCAGCGTGTCACGCCACTGACGAGATGGGACTGGGCAGTGTGTCAGGCCGCTTACAGGGTGGGACTGGGCAGTGTGTCAGGCCGCTGACGGGATGGGACTGGGCAGTGTGTCGGGCCGCTGGCAGGGTGGGACTGGGCAGCGTGTCGGGCCGCTGACGGGATGGGACTGGGTAGCTGTCTCGCCGCTGACGGAATGGGACTGGGTAGCTGTCTCGCCGCTGACGGGATGGGACTGGGTAGCTGTCTCGCCGCTGACGGGATGGGACTGGGCAACGTGTCACGCCGCTGACGGGATGGGACTGGGCAACGTGTCAGGCCGCTGACGGGATGTCCATGCCGTGCGACAGGCGGCCGGCGCAGACTCGCATGATCGAGTGGGGAATGGTGGAGTGGCTGGTTGGCTTCCTGCAAGACCACGCCGTCATCCCAGCCTACACGCTCGAGTACGGCTGCGCGCTGCTGATGAACCTCTGCCTGCGCACGGCCGGCCGTCAGAAGTGCGTGCCGCACGTCAACTCGGTCCTGAAGCTGCTCACAGACCTGCTCGGCTCCAACAACGCGCAGGTCGGTGGTGGTTGGTGCTTGCTCTGCGGTCTCCAGCTCGGTTAACTCAGCTGCCGTTTGCCTGGAATGAGTCGCATGTCAGGCGGCCACAGCGGCAGACGGCCGGCCGTGAGTGGCAGCTTGGCTGCCGGTCTGCGTGACGTACAGCGGCTGGTGAGCCGCGGGTCAGCAGCCAGGGCGACCCGCTCGTGCCAGCTGCCGTCGCTGACCTCTCCTTGTCGGAACAAGCCATTCGCATGGTCCGGGATTCGCACTCCGTGCAGTTCGGCGCCCTTCGCGCCGGCGTCCCTGGTCTTCGGAGGCGGCCTTATACGCAGGCTGGGGCCGGTCCCTGGCTGTGATGCGTATTGTATCTCTTCCGTGGTAGCCGTCTCCATGTTGGTGGCCGCCGTTGTGACCGCCGCACCATTGTCCCCCGGTCGCTGTCGTCCCGGCCGGGCGGTGGCACCGGCCCCAGGCCGTGACCTCCCTGTCGTCGGCAGGTGCTGCCGTACGTGAACGGCACGCTCTACAGCATCCTGGGCCAGCCGGAAGTGCGCGCGCGCGCCACCAAGCTCGGCCTGGGCCAGGTCCTCGAATACTTCATGGAGAAGGGGTACGCAGCCCGTCCCCCTCTGCAGGGCTGCCGACAATGACGGCTGAAGCATCGCGCCAGTCTCCCGGGCCGGTCTGACGGGCACGGACCCTGATGACAAATAGGGGGAGGGCGGGAGGGATCGCAGGCGTACATTGGACAGGTTGGAGGAACCCAGATGCACGTAATTCAGGTGACGGACAGGGGCGGTAGTGAGGTACTCGTCCGCGGCATGCGAGAGCAGCAGCAGAGTAACAGATGTGGCGAACATTCAAGGTGCTGCGCTTACACGCCTTTATATATATATATATATATATATATATATATATATATATATATATATATATAATTTACTGAATGTCGAAGATGGCTTGTTCAAGCGACACTGGTGCTGCCAAAACATCAGTGGAGCCGTAGGTGGCAGGGGTTTACTTCACTCCGGTCGATCCTCACGTCCGCCACGCAAAGGCGGCGCGCCAGACGTCGCCGCCGTGCCCGTGACCCGCCGCCGCGCCGCCGCGCCGCCTGTCACGGTGCTGGTGGCGCTCCGCCCACGGGCCGGCTGTGTTGTGTGCGCCACAGGTCGACGGACCTGCGCCGTCAGCTGGAGTACATCATGCGTCAGTACCGCGGCGAGGGCGTGGACGGCGCCGCCAGCGACGAGGACGACGATGACATCGAGGACACAGAGGTACCGGCCTGGCGGCGCTCGGGGACACGCTGCTCAGCCAGCGCATCTCGGCTGGGAGAGACGGACCTCCAGTTTTGGCTTGTGGCTCTGGTTTTGTTGGTTTCAAGTTAAGTAGCGTGATTTTCTGTTGACTGCACAGTCCCGGCGTCTGATTGGTGGGCTTCTGTAGCATCCCGACGTCATACCCGTGGCTGGCGTCTTCACTTTGAGGAGAGAGGAGTCCTTGACGTCTGCGACGTTTAGTGGGACGTTGACCACTGATTAATGTCCTCACGTTTTTAACTGACAGTTCTGTTTTACGAAAGTGGACATCAACGCCGCCTTACGAGTCCGAACGCCGTCCTTCGGTTGAAACGGAATTTTCCGACGTTTGGCTGGTAGGCGCTGGTTTAATTGGGATAGTCCTGACGCCTGTTTGGTGGATTTCAGTTTCTCGAGGAGGACATTGACGCTGATGACCCGGTGGTGGCCGAGATCGGGGAACACGAAGGCGAGGAGCTGCTGGCCACCCTCCGGGCAGGCTCCGGTGCGTCCACGCGCTGACGGTCCGGTGTGGCTCGGATGCAGGGGGTATGGGATCATCAGATGCCCGAATGCAACCAATGACGTCACGATATGCCGTCCGTAAGCTCACACGTGCGCAACCGGTGTTGGTGCGTCGTTAGGTGAGCTGCGCCATCAGCTTGTCGCTGGCGTCCAGCAGGCAGCCGCTGCTTTATCACAGCTTCCCCAGCGAGCTGACGCTGACGCTGGCGGTCGGAGCCCGGCCATGGCACACGCCTGTCGCCTCATGCCGCCCCCCCCCCCCCCCCTCGTCCGCAGATGGTGCCGGCAGGACTGCAGCGCGGCGGTCTGACGCGCGGCCGGCGCGAGCTGAGCGGCGCCCGCGCGCCGCAGAGCCCGGCCGAGGGACGCCCGGCCGCGACAGGGCCGACCGTCGGCCGCGGAGGTGAGCTGACGGCCTCTCACACGGGTCACACTGCCGCCGGCGGCCGCTCACATGGATCACACCGCCGCCAACAGCCGCTCACACGGGTCGCACCGCCGCCGGCGGCCGCTCACACGGGTCACACCGCCGCCGACGGCCGCTCACACGGATCACACCGCCGCCGACAGCCGCTTACACGGGTCACACCGCCGCCGACAGCCGCTCACACGGATCACACCGCTGCCGGCGGCCGCTCACACGGGCCACACCGCCGCCGACGGCCGCCCATACGGGTCACACCACCGCCGGCGGGGCTCACACGGGCCACACCGCCGCTGGCGGCCGCTCACACGGGTCACACCGCCGCCGACGGCCGCCCATACGGGTCACACCGCCGCCGTTCGACGGAGCGTCTGCTCTGCTATTCACTGTTAAAGCAAGTTGGCCCAAGAGGCCGCTTCTTCGCTGCGCTCTCAGCTGTTAGGTGAGAGGCTGGGGTCTGGTGGGACGCCACTGCCGGCGGCTCGACACCGCAGTGTGGCCCGTGGCGTGTCCGGCCGGTGTGCGCGTGCTGACGCGGCGCGTCCTCCGCAGCGGTCTGTCGCCGCGTCAGGGCGGAGCGGTGCCCGGCCGACCGGTCTCGCCCCGTCTGCCGAGCACCGCCCACAGCGACTCGGTCCTCGTGGTAGCGTGAGTCTCCGGCAGTCGACCACACTGGGCGTCGCGTGCGCCCGGAGAGCATGGGGCATGCGTCGTAAATCGGTTAAGCGTGCATTTCGGTGTGCATGGGGACTGTCGTCAAATGTTTTGCTTGGCCGACCCTCGACGAGAAGTGAGACCGTGATGTGCGGAAAGCGCACATCATGTCGTGTGGTCGCGCCAGGCTGGCTGCGTGTGAGCGATCGTGCTTGGCAGCGCGGTGTCTAAAGTGCGGGCGCCGCCGAGCGCTGACGTACCGTGTCGCCGTGTGACGACGGCTGCCGCGGCGCGCAGGAGCCGCTCGCCGCCGCCGCCGGCCGCCATCCAGAAGAGCCGCTCGGAAGCGGAGCTGGTGGTGCGCCGGCCCCGGCCGCCGCCCGGCGGCAGCCTGGAGCGAGCCAGACTGCCGCGCATCACCGCCGCCGCGCTGACCACCGCACCGCCGCCGCCGGCCGAGAGCGCGTCGCGTTCCGCGGCCCGGCGGCGGCGGCGGACAGAGGCGCGACCGCAGCAGCCGCCGCCGCCGCCGCAGCAGCCGCCGGGCCTCTCCAGTCGCCTGCTGGAGCGGCGGCCCACACTCGAGGCCAACAAACTGCCGCCGGCTGCTCAGGGTGAGTCGACACGGAGCAGCGAACGCCCTACGACGGCTGACTGGGAGGAGTCTTCTGCGTGGGCGCGGCCGGGCGCAGCGGCGTTGTAAAGGTTAAGTGTGTTTTAGATCGTGTGCTGCTTACCGATCATTGTTTGGATAGACAGTGCTGGACATAGGTGTGTAGCTGAGCCATAACTCGGTGTTAGCGTTAATGACGAAAGTGTACTGGTTTTACAGTGGCAGCTGGCTCTGGACCCACCGCGAGGACCGACTCCAGGAGTCGAAGACGAGAGGGGGAGCATCACGCAGACCCCGCCGCGAAACGTCCCGGGCGCAAGAAGCCGGCTGTCGGGGCCTCAGACGCAGGCTTGAAGCCTCTGGACGGGAAGAGCCGGGCTCCGGACGGGCCTGCACAGGCCGCCAAGCCCGCCTCGTCGGCGGCTGACGACAGCGCCAGGCCTGTGAAGGGAGCCGCGCTGGCTGTGGCTGCGGCTGGCGCTGCTGTCGGCGCCGCACGAGCTCTGGACGCCGCGAGCCTCGCTCCGGCTCCCGCAGCCGGCCCAGGTGCGGTGCCAGCTCCGTCCCCGGTCCTAGCTCGGTCCCCGGCCCCGGTGCCGGCCCCAACTCCGGCTCCAGCGCCAGCTGCAGCGCCAGCCCCAGCTCTAGCGCCAGCCCCAGCTCCAGCGCCAGCGCCGGCTCCGGCTCCAGCGCCAGCTCCAGCCCCAGCTCCGGTGCTGGTCCCGCCGCCAGTGACGGACCCGCTCATCCAGCGTCTGCCGGCTCCGGCGTGAGTAGCCGGGCTCGCAGGTCCGCCGCCGCGCCGCCGGTCGCGCTCGGCCGGGCGCTGTCGGCCCCGGCTCAGGTGTAGACGGGCTCGGGACGGCCCGTGCTTCGCTCTGGAGCGGGTTCAGGCGAAGCTCTGCGTGACTCCGGTCCACAAGGTCTCTTCCCACACAGAAGCGCATCGTCTTGCTGTAGGGTGTATCCTGTCGTTGTCATGGAAACGAGACGGAGCTGTTGCGAGCCCCGGTACGGTTAGGGCCCAGCTCGCCTGTTGGACTGGTTCGCTGGCGGGCGGAGCTCCCAGTGCGTCTGCGCTGACCAGCCGGCCGCGCGCTCTGACGCCGCCCTGACCTGCTGTGATGGCGCGTTCCAGCGTGCGTGACTACGTGGCGGCGTTCAGCTCTCGGCCGCGGCTGTCGCGTACGCCGCCGCCGCCGGACACCGGTCCGCAGCGGGATGCCCTGCTGCCGCCCATCGGCTGATCTCCTGAGCTGAGCATCGGGCGGAGCAGCTCCGGCCACAGCGAGGTCAGCTGGCGGAGCAGTCCCGACCAAAGCGAGGTCGGCTGACGGAGCAGCCCCGACCAAAGCGAGGTCGGCTGACGGAGCAGCCCCGACCAAAGCGAGGTCAGCTGACGGAGCAGCCCCGACCAAAGCGAGGTCAGCTGACGGAGCAGCTCCGGCCACAGCGAGGTCAGCTGACGGAGCAGCTCCGGCCACAGCGAGGCCAGCTGACAGAGCAGCTCCAGCCACAACGAGGTCGGCTGACGGAGCAGCTCCGGCCACAGCGAGGTCAGTTGGCGGAGCAGCTCCGGCCACGGCGAGGTCAGCTGTTAGACCGACTCCGATCCGAGAGAGGTCAGATAACCAGCTTTGACCGGGCGGAGGTAAGCAGAGCCCCCACCGGACGAAGGTCGTCTCGATGTGTTCCGACCGGCGAGGCCGGTCAGCTGCGCCGGACTAAGGTCAGCTGAGGTGTCGCGCCCGCTCGCCGCAGCAGGCTCGGCTCAGCGGTGCGAGTCTTAGTGGCGGCCGTGCTCAATAATGCGCGCCCGAAACGGAGTGCCTTGAGTGACCATGAATCAAAGCCGTTATCGGGTAACGTCGTGAGAAGGGGCTGTTTTATTTGGTCGGTGTTGTACGAGTGCCGTGATCTCGCGCAGCGAGACGTTGGATCTGCAGGCGCGCTAATGGTCTGTAGTCCCGGTCCGAATCGTTCAAACCGCCACCCCCGATCAGCGGGTGTGCGACAGTCGGCGCTGACGACGTACGCCAGGCGTCACGTGACAGCCTGGCGACGCGCCCATGCGGCGGCTCAAACCAAAACGTCGGTGGTGATTGCAACTTCGTACGCATTGTGATATAGTGCCTATAACGTCATAGAGTGCAAGGGCCTGCTCTTTATGGCGATCGATGCTTGGCATGTGATGGTCGCAGCGCCGCTCCGCGATGCATATGGGGCGAGCTGTCATTCATGTGCGCTGCCAGCAGTGGCTGCACTGTGTTTTGGGCTGTTTGGCATGGTGCCTTTCAATACATTTACGTTGCATGAACCTCGTGTGTGTATATATGTAGCGCGTGCTCCGGGTTGTCCGGACTTAGGCCACAGATAGATTCGCCCAGCAGGTAGTTTCGTAACACTGAGGGCATATATCCCCGTTTCCCAGAGCAGGCCGCTGCCACCATCGTCACCACCTGTCTGAACAGTTCCGTACAGGTGCATTTCGGCAGTGGTGCGAGCTGACGTCGGTGGCACGGGGATGGTGCTGTGGCGGCAGCTGCCGCTCCCATGCCTGTCTGCCTCGTGGTGATGATGCTGCAGGCATGGCTCACTTGAAACGGACGCATGCCGATCCTCGTGGTGTCTGTACAAGTCAAGGGAGTACGGGGTTAATGATCTGAGCGTCAATTGAGAACGTATTAAGCCTGAGGGCATGTGGAAAAGAAAGCAGGCATAGGCCGCCTTTATGCATGTACCTGGATGTCCAGATCCCTTTCAGCGCCCAGGCTGCCCCAGGGGGCTACGTACCAGGCACGCGTTCGTTCACGCCAGCGTGAAAATATTCAAGGTAGGTGCCAACGATGTGAACATATATATATATATATATATATATATATATATATATATATATATATAGATATAGATTAGATATAGATATAGATATAGATATATAGATATAGATATAGATATAGATATAGGTATATATACATATATACATATATATATATATATATATATATATATATATATATATATATATATATATATACATATATATCATGTCATACGACTTCTGGCTCCGCCGCCTCCGGGCCTACCACGTTTCACTTGCTCCTAATGCGTCGTCAACCTTTGACCCCGGACCTTTATCCTAACCTGCCTGCCCGATACCGTCGCCCTTTGACCCTGGATCCTCATTCTGACCTGCCAGCCCTTTGACCTTGGATCCTCGTCATGACCTGCCCGCCCGATTTGCCTCTCCTTGAGCGCACAGGTGACGGGTTGACCGCCATCTAGCTCAATGCTGATTGGTCGATCTTGAGCGATGGGAGGAGCAACAGCCGATGAATCCGTAGACACGGGGGCAATAACACGGAAACATAACTGCGCCCCCCCCCCTTGGCACCCAAGTGGCTGACCTTTTCCACACTGGTGCACACTTCAACACGCTGGCGCTTAAATTTGTTTTTTTCTGGCGCGCATGGCCGAAATGAGTGCCCGGTCAAAATCTTGCAAAATGTGGCGCATGCGCAATACAAAACATGTGGATCGCCCTGGGTCGAGACGCCGCATGCGATACTGCCTCTGCAAGCAAGACATTGGGACGGTGACGACGGCCCCAACTGATATCCATCCCGGTGGCTCAGTTGGTTAGAGCGCCTGCATTCAAGTTCATTGGTTAGAGTGCCTGCATTCCGAATCACCCAGCCGTGGCAGGGTGAATTCGAGTCACTTTAGAAGTTCCCTATTTGGTCTCGACAGGTATGGCGCGCGGCCGGCGGCAGCGACCGCGATAAAGGTCAGATGAAGTCAGAAGGCAGGACAGACCATACCGCGCACTGTGGCACGATAAGCTTTCGCCACCAGACTGCTCCGTCGACATGGAATTACGCGATCGGATGGTGAGTGAGCTCTGATCCTAAAAATACATCCACTCAAAAGCTTCGATTTTTTAGCCACAATGTAGACAATTCCACCCGACTCGATCACGTACCGACGGGAAGACACGGCCGCGGCGACACCAATGTCTGTCCGTGCTGGGCCAACACTGTCGTGTGGGCTGTACGGTCTGTCTGCCCGAGCGTGGCCGACTACGGCCGGCGCAGCGAAGCGATCGGAGCCGACGCCGTCACGTGTGGGCTGTACGGTCTGTCTGCCCGAGCGTGGCCGACTACGGCCGGCGCAGCGAAGCGATCGGAGCCGACGCCGTCACGCGTCACTTGACGCCACCGTGAAAACGTCACGACGACAACAGGAGCATGACGTCAACAAAATGCTTCGCAACGGCGGGCAGTTTTTGTTTTTTTTGTTTTTTGCTGCGAGTGAATGTCACAACAATAATCAAAAGAGCGTGGGTAGCAACAGCACGTGAATGGATGCAAGCTGTCGTTTACGTTATT